CTCACCTTCGAACCCTACACCCTACCCCTACCATGACCTTACCCCTACCCCTACTCCCCTACCACCCCGTCCGTACACCTGCCCCTAACCCCTACCCCTACCTGTATTGCTCCCAAACTCTTACTCCCTACCCCCTAATTCCAATCCTGCACCCTACCCATCCCTAACCCTAACCATTGCCTACCCCTACCACAACCCTACCCCTACCATGGCCATACTTCCTATACCCTAACCCCTAACCATTGCCTACCCCTACCACGGCCATACTTCCTATACCCTATCCCCTACCCCTCACCCTCACCCTCACCCTACCGACCCGTACTCTACTGGTCAGAGTACGAGCTTATTGGTCAGGGTAGAGGTAGAGGTAAGGGATAGGGGTGCGGTGGGTGGAGGAGTAGGGGAAGGTGGGTTGGGTTAGGGGTGGGTAGGGGGTAGGATGGGGTGGGGGTAGGTGTAGGGTAGGGGTATGGAGTACGAGTAGGGGAAAGAGTAGGGGTTAGGGGTACGGGGGATGCATTGGGGTGGGGTCTGAGTGAGGTAGGGTATGGTAAGGAATAGGGGTAGGGAATGGGTAACGTTAAGAGGTAATGGCAAGGGGTAATAATAACTCAAAAAGCTTAAATTGTCGCTTAATGAGGGGTGACATGCTTTGTAAGCGACATTTTAAGCACTTATTTCGGTTAGTAAGCAGTTTTTTTAGCAGCCTACATATTTACTTTACTTGTTTCACTAATCTAATTGTGACTTTAGCACTGAACTAAACATGTCATATACAGAGGGTCTTGTCCATCATTCCTCCTCACACAAGGAGTATATACCTCTGGTTCAACTTTAGTAATCAATCGAACACTTTGATGGGACAAACGCATCTCAGCCTTTATATTAACCCCAATTCTTTTTTAATAAACTTACTGGTGCGAATTGAAATCATATAATGCTGACAGTGGGACTTGATCAACCCTTTAAATAAAGACTCTCCCCGCTCACAACCTCACTATCCATTTTCCCGTTCAAAATGCCTCTAATGTACTCCATCCGTTTCTGAAACAAGTTCCACATTTGACATCACACATATTAAGAAAATAAATTTGACTTTACTGTGGAGTGCACTGTTTGGCACTGTTTGAACACTGTTTGGCACTGTTTGAACACTGTTTGACACTGTTTTGATGTAGATAATTTACCAAATAAGGAAATGTTTGAAAGTGGAACTTAATTTTGAATCTGCCCGAAAAGGAAAGGTGAAACTTGTTTCAGAAACGGAGGGAGTAATAAAATAGTATGTACAGGGATGGATTTAAGGGGGGCGCGGGGGGCGACCGCCCCCCTTGGACTTTCAAATTTTTCTACAATATATTTAATATTTTCATAAAAATTTTATACTTTAATTAGATATATATGTGTTCGCCCCCCTTAACTTTTAGTTTTCAAAATTAATATATAGTTTTACATTATATAATACTTAATTGGAGATTTGAAAGATGAAACATCTAAAATAATTTACATAACTTAAGCAAATATACAATAGAACAACTCATTGTTCAAGACTTAGGATACCTATTATATAAAAATTCGTAGTTTTGAAATGTTTAATTATCTTTAATTTATTAGATAATTATTACTCGATTTGTAAAATATCAAGCAATATTATATACGAGACACAGTAGTTAAACAATTTTTCGATCATGTGAAATGAATCTAAAATTACACAATTCGTTTACTTCTTACTCTTTAAAAATAATTTATTGCATAGATAATAAATTTCAACTTATTTTATCACAACAACAACAACATCCAAGCCTTAATCCCAAAAGAATTTGGAGTCGGCTAACATGAATCGATCTATGATATCGATGTCAAACAGAGAAGATAGACAAGAAAGGGAAGAAAAAGAAGTAAGATAAGACGAATAAAATAAAGAAAAAAATATAAGATAACAATAACGCAAGAATATAAGAAAGATAAAAGATAAAAAATAAAAGAGCATAAAAAAGCTAGAAGATAAAAATAACATAAGAATATAAAAAGATAAAGAAGATAAACGATAAAAGAAAAAAGAGAGGAATGATAGAAAAGACATCAATCTAAGAATCAACGATATAATATTATTCTAAAAATAATAATCTCATACTCCGTACATACTATACTTTTGTAATATTAGCAAAACTTGCAATTCAAAATTTGCAATTCAATAATATTATTCTAAAAATAATAATATCATACTACGTACATACTATCCTCATGACTCACGAACACCCTTCTTGGTAAACAAAATTTGTAATTCAAAAATCAATTCCTTTTAACGATAAGATTCATGTTGTTAAACATGACATGCATGAGTTATTTAAAAAGCATTGGTGGTTGTGCACCTTTTAAACTCTTTACCTTCAAATAATTTGATAAAATGTTATATATCCTTTGTTATTTTCAAATAATTTTCCTTTAATTTGCTATTTCTTACGCTTTAATGTATCAATACTTTTTTCTAAAGCACTTACAATTATAAAATCAAAGTTATTTGTTCATTGTCTAAACTTAGAATGTAGAGCCAATTTGGTGACACTAAAATTTGTTGAATTGGCTGATTCTGCTGAAATTTATGAAGTTCTGGCTGAAGTGACTGTATTGGCTGATTCTGCTGATTCATGAAAAAATTATATTTAAAATATATGTTATTAATAAATTAAATAAAAAATTATATGAAAATAGCTAAAATGATCCTCTACAGTAAGTTCAGCCAATACAGCCAGAAAAGTAACTCTAACCTTACTTTTTCCGCTTATTATAAACTCCAGCGCGCGAAATAAAAAGTTACGTATTTGGTGAAAAAGCTGGCTGATAAGCCGAAAAAGGGTCACCAAACGGGCTCGTAATATACTCCCCCCATCCCGTAAACAACTTCAAACTTCGTTTTCACACATATTAAGGAAATAAACATGCTGGGGGATAAATTTTACTGTATGGACACTGTTTCGACATTGTTTTGCACTGTTTGGTACTGTTTGACACTTTTTGAATGTAGAGAATTTGCCAAATAAGTAACTGGGAAGAAGTGTGAAGTTAATTTCGGGACTGTCCGAAAAGGAAAGCGAGAAGTTGTTTCTGGGATGGAGGGAGTATTTAAATATCATCATGTATGTACTTATGAATTCTTTTTTAATAAAAATTAGCCGCAAAGCCTTTCTAAACTAGCGAAAAAAAATTCGCCCCACTACACTAGCAAAAAAAAACGCCCGATTACACTAGCGAAACAATTTTCACCCACTACACTAACGAAAAAAATTTCGCCCCCCTTAGTTCCAAATCCTGGATCCGTCCCTGAGTATGTAGAAGCCGGTAAAACATATGAGGGGAAATTTAATTATATACACTACCAAAACGATGGATCGTTATTAAACAAGTTAAATGTTTCAATGTAGCTTAAATAAAAGGGAGAACTACCAAATAAACCTTTGAACTTTCATAAAAAGTGCAAATAAACCCTTTTATAGGAGGCTCTGTCAGGCTGTCGCCATTTGGGGCGGATTCCGCTGGAATTTTTTGATTAACTTTTTTGAGCATTTTCTTCATTAAGTCTAGTTTACTCATACCAAATTTCAGCTAAAAATTCAATCGGGAAGACAGTCAAATGAATTTTTGAAGATAACTGCGCAGTTAAGCAGCACAGTATATTTCAGAAAATCATTTGACTTCCTTCACGGTTGATTTTTTAGCTGAAATTTGGTATGGGTAAACTAGACTTAATGAAGAAGATGCTTAAAAAAATTCATAAAACAATTCCACCGTAAACCGCCCAAATGGCGACAGCCGGACAAAATCTCCTGTAAAAGGGCTTATTTGCACTTTTTATGAAAGTTCGAGGGTTTATTTGATAGTTCTTCCTTAAATAAATGAGAACTTAATGAGACTTATTCGGTTATTGTATTGATATATATATATATATATATATATATATATATATATATATATATATATATATATATATATATATATATATATATATAATGTATTATAAAGTTCACACAACTAATGTGTGAGTAAAGTGTTTTATTTTTGAATTTAAGAATATAAACAATACCATACATCAAATTTTGCTCATTTTAAGTTAAGATGATGCTGATTTTTTCAGAAGTCATAATTTTTTATTTATAATTAATTACGTGACTCATAATATAACAAATAGAAAATATTTCAAAACTCTACATTATCTAATTTTGAAAACTAGAGTCAAAATTTCGACCGATCACCCTGACCCCTCGGCTCTGCCCTGCGTAGGAGTCAAAATTTCCGTTTAAAAACATTTTTACTCCTAACTTGTCTGCCACTACAAATGAATGAATGATCCAGAGTGACATATTTATTTTTTTGAAATATTTAAAGAGTAGACGCATTATTATTTCTTATTGTACTGTAATAGCAGTAGACAGTTTAATTTATTGACCTAGTAAAAATTAATTAAAATTTGCAGCTGCGGGCCAGTTTATATATCTTTGACACGAGTCCCTAATCCCGTCCAAAACTCCAAATTCATGCTTCATTACAAAATGGCGGTAACAACCCACTCCTTCTTTTGAGTCTAATCTGCAATTCTGCATCATCATTTGTGTCCATTCTAGTGACTGACCTAGACATCGGAGGTCAGTGCATGCACATATATAGTACTATTACACTTTAATAAGAAATTTTTTTGAGCAAAAATAAATGTTTTATTAGAGTATAGAAAAGATTATAACCAACAAATTTTTTTTAGTGTAGATATATACGAAAAATAATTTTTGCTCTTCCAAAAAGTATTTTGAACCTCCCCAAAAATATTTTCGCCCCCCCCAAAATGACTTTCCTGGGTCCGCCCCTGCCACTAATGAAGAGAAAGTTAAAGAAATAACATAAAGTTATTGAAATAACACGCTAATGATCCACACCAAAAAAAGAAGCTCTCCTTCCGATGAAGATAGAAACCAATAGCTAAGGTATTTATCAATACCAACTAGATAAGCCAACACAACCTTCCCAAAAATCATGACAAATCTTACCTATGAAGATGTAATCGCAATATTCTAAGGTAAAACTAACCCTTAATCCCCTTTTTAGCTTGAAGTCGAGCGTTTCGTTTAAACTTAAGTTGAGTGACCGTTGTATAATTAGGATCACTTAATCGAGCAAGCCGCACTTGATCTGAGTCATATCCCGAAGACCCTTCATCTGAGACCGCATCAAATTCTAATTGAGAAGTACCCTTGATTGCTATTTGTTGACTTTGTTCAGGGAACAAGACTTGAATCGGTGTTACTAGCATTACTTCCTCCACATTACTCTCATCCTCCCTTGCTTCTCTAGCCATACTGTCATAATAGTTCTCCGTCGAAATGACAATATCTCTATTAGCGTAATCCGTCTCAGGAGGAAAAATAAAATCAATGATCTCAATCGCATCCTTGTCAATATTGCCTATCTCCTCAGCTACGTGCGCGTTCATTTGTGTGCATTCCCAACTAGAAAAAGTGCATGGAATACTAGAGACAGAGCAAGTAACCTATGCTAAAAATGCATAGGGCTTCTGCAAGTATCCGGAACAGAGTCATACTCTCTACCTATCAAATTAGGATTATAGTCCAATTTACATCTTTCCAATGTACCGTCCGGTCGGGGTCGGGGGTCCTCATGGATGGGGTGTCATCCTTGTTTTTTTAGTGCATGGAATACTATTAAATTGCCCGACATAGTTGTTAGGTAAGCGTCACAGTTTTATTAACGCAGACATAAAAACTGGGCCAACTTGTACGTACTGCTGCTTCAATTATTTATTCTCAGTCGAAAGCTGAGTCTGATTTCCACTATTGGGAAGCATCCTATTCTTCACTTCCTTAATGCCCAGCATGTGGCATCACCCCCACAAGCCTTTCATAGATTAAAATGGATGTATTCGAATTGTTGGTATTATTCTATTTTTAATACTTCACTCTTAATTTAAATTAAATGAAACAAATCCGTATCAAATTACACTTGATGTTTCAACTGGTAATATTATTAACGTTTCTGGCCAAAAAATCTTACGGGCGGTGGCTTGAAATTCAGACGTACAATCTACCGTGTAGTGATGATATTCATACAAGTAATGTATAGTGAACTGTAAGCAAGGAATTGGAATTTCGGCCACAACGCAGGGTTTTTTAGCAGTAAATTTGACATTATTACCGGCGAGTTTATTCGAGGTGGATGAGAATCTCACACAGCGGACTGGTCGGCAAGCATTACAGAGACACTTGGTGTTCGAGCTGCACTCATCAAGATCGAATCAGATCGTGTTAGAGACATGCACAACTGATCACAACAAGGTCGGAGGAAAGCTCAAGTTTTTCTTATAATTGATGGATTTGATGATATTAGACACATTATTCGGAATGAAGCTAGGTTTGTTGTCCAATTCCGTAGCGGGTGTCTCAAACTTAACTTCAATTTTGGATTCCTTGGGTCGTCTTCGAATCGGATCTTTTACTTTGTCAAAGTCAGGGAGTACTCCTTGGTTCATTTGTCACGCCACAGACCACATGTAAGTGCGTGTACAATCGTCGTATGTTCAAGTGACGTCACCCGCAAGTCAACCTCACTTAATGTGACACCGCACCCGGATGTACTTGAATTTAAAAATTCAATATGTATTTGAATTTTTCTAGCGAATAATTTCGTGTCAAAGAATTGTGGATTTAATTAATAAATGATTAATTAAATTATTTATCGGGCTCGTAATATTGAGAATGAGCTACCAAATTATTAGTTGAGTCATCATAATAATGATAGAAGCCCAATAAAATGCCAACTATGGCTGAGGAAAATGATTGGACAACCCGAGTGCTATTTTGACCCAACCTGCCAGAAATAGCGATAATAATTGGAAGAAACTTTCTACATCCAATTGTGATCTTTCCTACATGGCTACATGTATTGTATACTCTAAATAACGATTTGGAGACAAAGGAAGGTGGCTTGTGCGGACATGGAGAGGAGGAAGTCTCCTAGGGACAAGAAACTACACCCCATGACCCCATCCTCTACATTATATTTTGGATTGATTGCATTGAGACATTTTCCCCCTATTCACTACAAAAAAACACGCCGTTTGTCACGGATTTTGTCACGGACGGTAGTTCAAAAAATCCGTGACAAATGATTTTTTGTCACGGATTTGTCACGGAAAAAATCCACTTAACTAAATAATAATAAAGTTTCAATCCTAGCTATATATATTATGCATCCCATTAACAATAATTAACTAATTTAACTTATTAATTAGTTAATTTCCATTTAACTAATATTGTTAAATATCATTAATTCACAATAATATATAATTCACACTTAACTAATAAAGTTTGAATCCTAACTGAAATCACTACAAATCCTAAATTATGCATTAACAATAATTAACTAATTAATAAACAAATTAAACCTAATCATCATCATTGATCAATTAACTAATATTTAAATCTAACTAATATTATCAACTCATCAAATTCTAAACCCATTTCCTCAATGTTTTAACTTAATTAATTAGTTAATTAATTAATTTACATTTAACTAATATTATTGTTAAATATTATCTCATTAATAATTCACAATAATAATTCACACTAAACTAAATAATAATATAGTTTCAATCCTAGCTATATATATTATGCATCCCATTAACAATAATTAACTAATTTAACTTATTAATTAGTTAATTTCCATTTAACTAATATTGTTAAATATCATTAATTCACAATAATATATAATTCACACTTAACTAATAAAGTTTGAATCCTAACTGAAATCACTACAAATCCTAAATTATGCATTAACAATAATTAGCTAATTAATAAACAAATTAAACCTAATCATCATCATTGATCAATTAACTAATATTTAAATCTAACTAATATTATCAACTCATCAAATTCTAAACCCATTTCCTCAATGTTTTAACTTAATTAATTAGTCAATTAATTAATTTACATTTAACTAATATTATTGTTAAATATTATCTCATTAATAATTCACAATAATAATTCACACTAAACTAAATAATAATAAAGTTTCAATCCTAGCTATATATATTATGCATCCCATTAACAATAATTAACTAATTTAACTTATTAATTACTTAATTTCCATTTAACTAATATTGTTAAATATCATTAATTCACAATAATATATAATTCACACTTAACTAATAAAGTTTGAATCCTAACTGAAATCACTACAAATCCTAAATTATGCATTAACAATAATTAACTAATTAATAAACAAATTAAACCTAATCATCATCATTGATCAATTAACTAATATTTAAATCTAACTAATATTATCAACTCATCAAATTCTAAACCCATTTCCTCAATGTTTTAACTTAATTAATTAGTTAATTAATTAATTTACATTTAACTAATATTATTGTTAAATATTATCTCATTAATAATTCACAATAATAATTCACACTAAACTAAATAATAATAATGTTTCAATCCTAGCTATATATATTATGCATCCCATTAACAATAATTAACTAATCTAACTTATTAATTAGTTAATTTCCATTTAACTATTATTGTTAAATATCATTAATTCACAATAATATATAATTCACACTTAACTAATAAAGTTTGAATCCTAACTTAAATCACTACAAATCCTAAATTATGCATTAACAATAATTAACTAATTAATAAACAAATTAAACCTAATCATCATCATTGATCAATTAACTAATATTTAAATCTAACTAATATTATCAACTCATCAAATTCTAAACCCATTTCCTCAATGTTTTAACTTAATTAATTAGTTAATTAATTAATTTACATTTAATTAATATTATTGTTAAATATTATCTCATTAATAATTCACAATAATAATTCACACTAAACTAAATAATAATAAATATAAAGTTTCAATCCTAGCTAGCTATATATTATGCATCCCATTAACAATAATTGCTAATAAATAATAATTGGTGATAATTAATAACCTAATAATTAAGCTAGCTAACTAATTAATTAAATCACTACAAGTCACTAATTAATTAATCTATAATAAGCTAGCTAATACTTAAATCATCACTACACATCCTAAATTATTATGCATTAATAATAACAATAATTTAACTGATTAATATTTATATTTAAATTTAACTAATTAAATTGTGTTAATAGTTTAATAATATATTGTTAATAATATGAAAATTAACATGACCTCACTAAATTACGTTAATAGTTTAAATAAATGAACAACTAACCTCACTAATTAATTATTAAGCTAATAATTAATTATTATTATATAAAGAAAAAAGAATCCTAACCTCACTAATAATAATTAATCATTAAGCTAATAAATAATTTATTACACAATTAAAAGAAATTAGTTAAAATGACATACCTTATCTGCATAAACTCGGAAAATGATGAACTGACGGATTACATCATTCAATCTTTAAACCGATACTACATCACTCGAATCTACGAATTTTTGAACTGATAATTTTTGTTCTTGCAATTGTAATGGACGATGGGGTTGGGTTATATAAAAAAGTTTGTCACGGATTTGTCACGGATTTATCCGTGACAACTCTTTTTCCGTACCATATTATTAAAGGTTACCGCTGGAAAATCAATAATTGAGGTTTGTCACGGATTTTGTCACGGATGGATCCGTGACAAAGTTTTTTTGAAATTTCTCACGGATTTGTCACGGATCTGTCCGTGATAAATCCGTGACAAATCATTTTCGTGACAAATCCCAAAAATCCGTGACAAAACCCGTGACAACTTTGTCACGGCCGGAATCCGTGACAAAAATCCGTGACAAACGGCGTGTTTTTTTGTAGTGATCCTTGCAACCACTCGACCAAAACAATAGAGAGAGAGCTCTAAGGAAGCTTCTCACAAAGCTCAAGCTAGGAGAAAGCTAGAAGGAAGGGAAATCAAAAGAGAACAACTAGGCTTTGAGGTAAGAACACAACTATTGTTCTTTAACTAGTTTTATTGTGTATGATTTTTAAGAAATCATATAGTGGATTAAACATGATATTTTACACGTTTAAAACTGTAAAATATTGTTATAAAGTGGTGACATTTAACTTCGAAGAGTTCTGGAATCGATAGGAGTTGAAACCGCCGGAAAACCGCCACTGTTGGGGACAGTTTTCGAGCTGCAGGCCCGAAAGCCACCCACCTTTTGGCTGCTGTCCAGTTTTTCCACTTTCAATCGACAAAGAATGGGGATTGATCGAGGGCTTTAGCAAAGCAACTATTGTAGCACATCACAAGGTGAGGATGACTGACTATATTGCTTATAATTAGTGAATTAATTTCATAAGATTACCTAAGGTAATTAAATATGATTTTCATGGATTATTAATGATTAATAATGACTAAATGAAAATACTATATATTGTTTATGAGTATGTGAAACATGATATACAAATTTAGGAGGAATTGTGTATGATTATGGGTTATGAAAATGATGGCATGATAGTAGGAATTAACTATCAAATATTGTGATAAAATATACTTTTACTTCATGTAAAGAATTCATGAATGGATAAATGTGATATTTTTAATATTGAGATTAAATTATATTTGGATTGGAAAATCATTTGAAATGAAATCATTGGACTATGAATTAAGAACTTGGTTGTTCTAACATTATCCGACTAGTAATAAAATACTAGTCGGGAGATTAATATGAATTATGATGGAATTAATCCTAGGAGATTAGATTGTGGAAGTCATACCTTGGGTAATCTCAAGAGATACCTTAAGGTCGGATTGTATAAGCTCTAAGTATATTAGGAGTAGGCCTTAAAGGCTACTCAAGGTAAATTGATTCTAGGCATAGAATTGGCTTAGAAATCGAATAACTTGACTAAGAGCAAAGCTCTAGCATGGTGTAATTGTGACTAAGAACGAGGCTCTAGCATAACGTAGTTCGACTAAGAGCGAGGCTCTAGCACAAATGTAGATTGACTAAGAGTGAGGCTCTAGCCAAATGTAGATTGACTAAGAGCGAGACTCTAGCCTAATGTAGATTGACTAAGAGCGAGACTCTAGCCTAATGTAGATGACTAAGAGCGAGGCTCTAGCACAACGTAGAGCGACTAAATGTGAGGCTCTAGCACAACGTAGGACGACTAAAAGTGAGGCTCTAGCACGGTATAATAATAAGATTGAGCGAGGCTCCATGATGGCTAATTGATGTAAATGAGAAATGACTCATGACGGTAAAATTTCTTACCGAAGGTTATGACAATCGTGATTTATAATCACGGGGAAACAGGGGTGGACGTTTCAAAACGAATATGGACAATGGGCCAACTATTTGACTTTATATATAAAGTAAGTATATTTTAAAAGAGGGTAACTGGGGGTTATGGCCTATAAAATAATATCACCCTATTATGAGGGTCTTAGAAATTGAAACATTGATTATATACAGTGTAGTTGTCATTGTACTTTTCAAATGCTTCAAAGTACTGACCTCCCCTTCACGGGGGAGACCACCTCACAGTTTCAGGTAGAACTTGAAGGTTGCTATCATCGCTCGTTGCTTCGGGAAGATCAAGGAGAGAAGACGTGGTTCG